TCTAGCCTGTCATCACTTGCTGGAAACAACACATTTCTGTCTAAATACATGTGTAATGGGTTATTATTGTCCTGCATAACTTAAGAAATGTTATGACACCATAATTTGTCATCTCATTATGTCATAATGTTTCTATTGTTTGTCTGAAGCTAATGACAGAAAAAAAAAAACAAGCATATTCCTGAAAGAGGTCTAAGTCATCACAAGCCTGTTGTGTCTGTTAAGCCGTAGCCGAGCTGGAAGCGCTTGAAAGAAGTGGTAACAGATTACTTTTAGGGTGATCATGTGTGCACAGTCCTATGATAGGCTGGTCTACTGTCAGGGTTGTATAACCGAGGCAGGCTGGCAGAGAGGAGTAAAGTAGGAGAGACTGTACCAGGAAGTGCAAAGTTCTATCTGTGCTGCCTGCTTTGCATTCAAATGCAACTTGAGAGGCTAAAAATCTTGTCAAACTGGTTTAGCAACAACAGGCACGGAAGAAAGAAAGACTGAAACAGAAAACCATCTGTGACACTTCATATGACTCAAACCTAATAGCAGGTTTCATCCATGCTCAGTCTTGAGAGTAACACAATGGTGTTAATTAGACTGTAGTAACAGTTTGTACTCTAGTATTCATTAACTTAAATTAATCACAACACTATTCACGTGCAGCAGTGTTATGATTCAGTATGGTCATTTCCTGATCAAGACAAGTAATACATTCAGTAACACAGTCAGAGATTCAAACTAAAAGTAATTTAACGACATATTAATTAAACCTTCTAATCTTTTTGAAATTTGTCTTTTTTATATTTTTATATTATTTCCATTATCATTATAATAATTATTATTATTCATAGCAAACATCTAGTCCAGCAGTTTTTGCCAGGCCTATGGCGCTTTATCATGTATGGCACATACATGTATGGATAATTCATCTTGTGATTCTTAATATCCTCAGTAGTGACAAAAACTTGGTTGTTTACAAACTCTTTACCAAAAAAGAATATTTATCTTCTTTTCAAGCTATAGTCAATGTCTGATCAAAAGTAATCACATTACAAGCAGTACATGTATGTGTAAGACAACACACATTGCTTTTTTATTAATATGTATTTACAAAGTGACCACATAGTTTGTTGGTTTTTACCAGTGCAAAAACACGTGCTAGTTACTGCAGTGGTAACCCACAAAACATTTTAAATTAAAAATAAAGTTTTACATAAACTTTAGCAGTATTTGCTAACAGGTTCACACAGTCCTGGTGGTCATCAAAAACATCTTCATTTTTACCAAACGAATTGATTTTGAGAGAATTAAGTTATATACAGGCAACATATGTTCAATGTGGAATGATTATATTTATATAAAATATTATATTATAATTATTACAATCAACATCAGCTAGAACTGTTTAAGCAACGTACACTGTCCTGAAACTTTAAGCAGTTTTAGCTGCCTAATATTTATCTGCCAATAAATTGACCTGCTCTTAAGTGCACATAAGCTAAGTGCACATAAGAAAAGCTATTAGCTTCAAAGCTAACGTTAAAATAAAATGAGCTAATATTTTAACTAAAATAAGACAGACTTTATTTTGCTTTATCAGCTTCACTAAACTGTCGACCCTTCTATATTAGTTTTTATTTAGAGATCGTTTTATAAAAATAAACTTAATGAAAACAGTTTTAGTTTAGCTCAAACCACTGTAGCAGACAAAATATTACAACTTAAGTCATTTTAATATAGTAGCTATATAATTACATTTTCTGTGTAAAAAATACTTACAAGTGATTTAATATTTATACTTAAACATGAAATCATATTGTTTAGTAAGTATTCATATAGCACGTTTAAATGTGCTATTGATTTATTTCTCTATTTATTTTTTACAATAAAATTAAGTAAAATAAAGAGCTTCCCAGCGATTGACACATTAATACATATACATCACTCAGACCACATGAGGTGAAGCCTGACTTGGTTATTCTAAAACTTTCAGTGACTTAACAGGTTTACTCTTGTGTTCAAAGCTCAGGTGAGAGGAGTGACGGAGGGGTGTGGTCTAGTGAGGTAAAGGAAAGAGGTGGGGAAGGAACCCGAAGACTTACAGGTAGATGACTTATCCACTTGTCTCCGGGAAACACAATAATATCGGGCAAACCTGTGAGTAAAAACACCCCGGATCTGTCACATGGTGATTTAAGAAGAGCGGGTTTCGGGCTCAGACAGAAGCTTTGATTTGAAGCGAAGCACCGTCGTCGACGTCGTTACAGGTTTCACCGCAAACATGGAGCA